TCAATTTTAGAAATATTTTAGGGGAAGGGAAGACTTTTTTTTGTGGAAACCTGAGAAAAGTGTTAATTTTGATTAAGCTACGGTAAGGAAATAACTTCATGGAATCAGAAAATCTAAAATGCTGAACAAATAGAGATAAAAACACAACAGCAAATACATTTGCATAATACATGTCAAAAGTGACAGTTCATTAAGGGACGATGGATTTACATGGTTGCTCAGCTCAGTGCATCCCCAAGTTAAAAAAATTACAAGCTTATTTAAATTCTATTCTAACTTATTTGTAATGCTTTCCTGATCAGAAAATTTCTACGCATAATGGGAAAATGTCTTTGTCTGATATTGAATAAAAAAATTCAGCAGTGAAAAAAGTTTTGCCAATTTTTATTAAAATCATCACAATACCACAGTACAGCTGTTCCTAATAGATTACAAAGGTATCTAAAGATGTTTATAAAAAATAAATTATATTCAATTCTATCCTTGGCAATTAAGTGAAAAAATGATGTTTTAAAGAAAATTGAGAAGTTTACATACAAAATTACAAGCAAATTCCTTTTATTAATTTACAACACTTTCTTCTTCATAAAACAGTAGATAAGTATAATAAAATATTCATTATATATATATATTAATCATTTCTAGAAACATGCAACCCAAGTATTTTTTTTAACTTCAGGTTATTTACTAAACCTTACATACATACAAAATTTAAGGTGCTTTTCATTTTGCCGGCGCAGGCAATAAATTTGCCAAAATGGTACAACTGATGCCAAACTTAATATACTTGCTGGTAACCTTTTACGCCTCAATTTTCAAAACAAGTCGCAGCCATTTCTTATCAGATTGATTGTTTCCTTCATACTAGCACACAACTACATAGAATTTTTTACCAGCTAGTTCAATTTTTATGCCCTAAGGCCGTTCGTGGTAATTAAGTCAATTAGGATGCAATCACACTACTCACCCGAAGGGGAAAATGTACAAAAGGCAAAGTCAAGGGTTAAATTCATTAATTCTAATGAGAATGCACTAGCGAAGTAAAGCACTGCGGTTTTTACATAATTTCCAAGTGAGCTATTCGTACAAATTGAAATAATTCTTGCATTTAAACTTATATTCCAAATGAAGATTTAACCTGAAATTAATGTAGATATTTACTGAGAGAATTAGAATTTTGTAACATAGTTTACGTGAGATGAGATCACTTGGGGTCAAATGATATGAACCGGCGAATCAGGATGTTGAACCATGAAAGCATAGTAAATTCTTTAATTAATGTCTTCTTACAAATTTATTGTCTTTATTTATTGGCTTTTTACAAAATTTTAAACGATATTATTAAAATGTTTATGCCTTCAAAATAAAAATTCTTAGAACTAACATTCGTTAATTTTTTTTTTTTTTTTTTTTTTTATTTGTGTACATTGTATGTTGTCGCCAATAAAGTCTGCTTGGCGAGATTTGCACCGGCAAAACGGAAAAGTACCAAATTTAATTTCTAAATGTAATAAGCAAGTGTTTAAATATAACGTACAACATTGACAAGTATTTCAACATATTTTGAGATGTACATTGTACTCAGAAATAAATAACTATGAAAACATATAAATTTACATACCTTTCTGCTTTTATATCCAATGGGATGTAATCAGCATATATATCCCAAAACAGAGGCAAAATTGTTTCCATAAATTATGTTTTTGCAAAAGAGTGTATATCACATGTAATTATTTTTTCTACTGCCCTTTGAATAAAACAGCTTTTGTGTACATCTGTCGAATTGATTCGGCAGCATTTATTTTATTTTTCCCCCGATATATATACCTAACACGCAAATAACTTTCTATTATTGCCTTTACTAAATAGACTACATGATTGTCGAGTGGAGACATATCGTGCATATGGCCATTTAGTAAAGGAAATAAATCATTACCCTTTAGGGCATTCAAAACTTGAATCGTCGCTGTCAAAATTGTAGGTGTTTTTATTGAATCATGCTTACTGAAAATACTATTAAAGGAACGAAAAACAGATTCACTTTTTTTACATATTAAGTACACATCATGGGATGCATGAATTAATTTGCCCCTGCTTTTAAATGATACAAGCGAATGCTGTAAAACAGTTTTTTTTTTTTTTTTTTTTTTTTTTTTTAATGTAAGTGCATTTAAACACATCTCGCATTTAATATTTGAAGATAATTTCCTAACAACAAAACCAGCTATGTAATAAACAATATGCTCCGAACATCTGGTTAATATTGCTGGATTAAACACGTAATCATGATCTGAATTGACAGTATCCCAAGATATATTTGTTGTTTCATCCATAGCTCTTAACCTGTCAGTTGTCATATTTATTATTTTCTCAGATGCAGTCGTACTGGTTGCAGTCAGAATGCTTATATTTTCTTGTGGACTGCAATTGCCATTAATAAAATCACTTATTTGAGTTTGTACGAGTAGTCTTTTATATGCAGTTTTAAATTGATATGAAGTAGGGTTATTATTGCATCCTCTCTGCATACGAATCATTTGGAAAAACATTTCAATGTGATCTTGGCTAAATTTATATGATGGTAAGTATATAATAAGGGTTGATTTTGAAGTTACCAGCTTTTGTATTAATATTTTATAACTCTTAATACATACCAAAAAACCTAGAAAGCCAGTTTTTCTATTACATTCAGTAACTTTTATTCCATTTACACTAATTTTCAAGTTGCTTAAATACCTTTCCAAGTCATTAAGAGCTTTGAGAATAAAACTGCTGTTATGTATATGCTGTTATGTAGAGATTAAAAGCAAGTTGGAAGAGTTGGAGGTCCAGAAATGTATGTACGTAACGCAACAAAAAGCTTTAAAAGAAATGCCGCGAGTTGAGGCACTTATATTCCACACATGGAATAGTCTTCCAGATTGCTTCAGTGAGGTGAAGAAGTTGGCATTTGGAGTGCTGACTATCTTCGGATCGACATATTCCTTCGAGCAAGCATTCTCTTGCATGAATATAATTAAAAGTACAGTAAGAAGCCAACTAACAAATAAAAATTTAGGGTCGTGTTTGAGACTTAAAACAACAAGTTATGAACCAAATTTATCCAAACTTTCTAAAACCATGCAAAGCCAACGCTCCCATTGAATTTGTTTGCTCAAATGTTTGTTATTGAAGTTAGTGTTGTAATTAAATGTTTAATTGTTTTAATTTTTTACTTAAATAATAAGTAATTATCTAATAATGCCCTATATCTAATTTGTTGTGAAAAACACTATTTATATATATGAATAAATAGATATTTTTTTCTTATGAATAAATAGATTAGTTTTTTTATCAAAAAACTTTATTTATGAGAGTACTATTTATTGTTGGCAATAAAACATTTTGTGGCTCTTTAACAGGGGCGTAGCTAGAGGGGGGCAAAGGGGGGCAAAGGGGGGCATCTGTCCCCGGGCGCAGAATCCAAGAGGCCCTAAACTGATATTACGACATTTTAGAATTAAATGTTTTCCATCCTTGGCAAGTAGTAGGAGGCGCGAAACCTTCAGTTGTCCATGGGCGCTGAAAACCCTAGCTACGACTCTGCTCTTTAAAAACTTTGAAGTTTTGCAAATCGTAATTTTTGACTCTTCCGACTCAAGGTTGCCGACCCCTGACTTAGGCCTTGCTCTTAGACTAGTGCTGCCATCTTTATATATAAATATGAACTAAATCTATAAAAATTATAATCTTTGAAAAATAATATTTATAAAACCCCCATTTCTTTATGTAAAATAATAACAGTTTATGTATAGCACTTAATATTGAATTTTCTTATTTAAAAGTTATTAGTTTTCACTATAGCTGTTTTCTATGCTGTTAACAGTTATGCTTTTTACGAAGAACCACATGATCTTAATACCCATGAAAAGTCAGAACGCTTGGAAAATTTTATTGTAGAGGAGTCAGTTTTTAATTTAAAATTGTATCAAAATGCTAACGACTTACAGTTTTTGTCAGTATTGCTTTCAGTTATTTTTCTCTTAACATTAAATAAAAGTATAGTAAATCTACATGCTTTTAACTTTCCATTCTTTTAAATGGGAAGCTTTTTGCGACTACTGAATATTAACAGAGCCGTGCTTAAGCATTTTCTCACCTGAGGCAAATAGCACCTGTACACTATTAAATGAGCGGAATCTCTATACTTTTATATTAAACAAAGGTAACTATACTAAACCATTTCATAACTTTTACAATAATTGAAATCATAGCTCTATGCATTGAGAAAATTAAAATGTATAATAGTTCCTAATTTTTATAGAAAACACTAAACTAAAAGCTAGAAAACACTTTATAGAAAACACTAAAAGCCATCAATTAGCACTGAAATGTTAGAAAAAATGCTGTATTAATATTACAGCCTTTTTTTTTTTTTTTTTTGTTTTGTTTGTTTGCTTTTAATAAAGTAAACCGATGCTAACGTTTTAAAGTTTACTTGCTTGTTTATGTCCTATAGAAAAAATTGTTACATTTGAAAAGTCCAAAAAAAGACTTTGCATATTTAATTTATTATTTTAGATGAAGCTTCTTTTACTCTAACACTGCTAACTGGCAACGTTAAAATTATCTTGCACACAACTTCTAAATTCAGATATGATTGAACGAAATTGCATTCAGGACCAAGGACCAAGGCGTTGGCTTACGGAGTATCTTCGCTTAATTAAGCAATAACTTCCACATCATCTTTAAGAAGAAATGAATCAATTCAAGAGTAAAACAATGGCTAAATAATGTCTAAATAGAATTCGAGGCAAGCAATGGCTAAATAAAACGAACAAGAACCGTTATGGGTTTAAAGAGTCAGGAGATCGATAAGAAGTCCACATATAGGACGAAAACTTCTTTCAACAGCTCTTTTACCTGAGCCAGGGACAGGAGAACACCCGCTGACGCAATTGAGTAGTGAAAGAAGTGTTAAGTTTAGGCAATTACCGGCACGCGATCAGCGAAAGGTAATCTGAACAGGTTAAGAGAGAACGATTTTGCGTGTCGTCCTTGCGCAGGGGCCATGCTAATCTTCCCTGGGTATCGTTCCAATTTTAGTATATGTACTGCCGAAGCAAGTACAGCCAAGGCCAACTAGATATCTACAGGCCTGCTCCACCGATTTGTGACGTCACAATCGAAGGCGATCGTTCCCACGGTAGACGCAGCCGACTGTTTCATTTATGTAGTGCGCAGCGTTTTATTTCCAACACAAAAGTCAAGTCAAATTAATTTTTACAACTAATATTTCGAATTTTAGGAATAATAACGTACTATGTTATATCGTAATGATATTTAAATACTAAATACCGATTTATTAAACAGAAAATAAAAATAAGATTTGAGTGATATTGTAAATTTAGCAGAGCTGATTTAAATTAAACTGAAACATACCTGAACTTTTATACGGAAATAAAATGGACACAAAAATTATTTATAAAAATTATACGGTATGATAATAGCAATGAAAATATAACATATGTAATGAACTAAACATGAGATGTTTTCATTTTGTAATAAAAAAGAAAAATATGTTAAAGCTCTCAGATGATTTTATATTGCTTAAATTATGAAGACTGATTTATACTGCTTGAATACTAAACAAACACATATAGTATTTCATAATAAAATTAATATCAATTCATTAATTCTAATATAATATTGCTTTATAATTGTTTTTGGTGCAATGATATTGAAGCAAAATGAACTCTTTCTTTTCTTTATTCCCATAAAGATCTTTCAAGATTCAATCAGAGATCCTAAGATGCTTTTTAATAATAAATACACATGTGGACATTAAGTGAAATACATAAATCTTATTAATACATTAATATATTAAAAGTATATCTGAAGTTTAGTCTACATATTGAAAAAAGATTCATTCTAAAGATGTTTTATAGCAAAAACATTACACAGAATATTCAAAATATATTTTCAAGTTCTCTTAAAAAAAGCAAGATCATAACTATGCAATCAATCCCAATGAGCATCATATCATGCTCCAAAAAATTCTTATGAAAGAAAATCTTATTAAAAATACACTCTTAATACATCTCATTAAAATACACAATATTAAGCAATGAAAAATCCTGCGAGTCATTACGATAGTATAAGATACTTATTAGCCAGTTGAAATTATCATTTCACGTCTGCAATAAGTTGTCATTTGAATTTTTTAAATATTAATAATGGAACATTATTATTGCAGACTCTGATGCGAGGTCCACAAAAATAAACTTCATAAACTTGAATAAGTTTCTACGACTCACTGATATTACAATATATCATCTATATCATTCTATATACCAAAATGGATATAGTTTACAGATGCTTAGTATTCAATTAATTTAGACATTCTTTTTTTTTCTTTTAAAAATATTTAAACTCTTTATACACCACATACTACTACATTAATTTGTATTGCTTAAATTAATTAGATTGATTTATACTGCTTAAATATTAAAAAGATATGTGATATTTCATAACAAAATTCATAAACATATTAATTTAAATAAAATTTTGATTTACATTTATGATTTTACATGCAATTCTATTGAAGCAAAAGCCATTTTTTTTTCTTTCTCATAAAAACATTTCAACATTTAATCCAATATCTTAAGGTACTTTTTAATTATAAACATACAAGTGAACATTTTGGGAAATATATGACAAAAAAAGTTTTATTTTAAAGATGTTTTAAAGCATGAACATTATACGAGAAATCTTGTAGCATATCCAAAAATATATTATAAAATTCCCTGAAAACAAAGTGAGATCATAACTATGCAATCTACCCCAATGAGCACCATATCATGCTATAAAAAATTCTTATGAAAGAACATCTGATTAAATATACACTGTAAATTTATTTAATAATAGACAAATAGTAAAAGATGCATGCAGTATTAAGCAATGAAAAAAAAATCCAGCATATCATTACATTACAATGTTATAAAGATATTAATTATTAAGTTAAACATCATTAATTCACATCAACAAAAGTTTGCCATTCAAATTTTTGAAATATGAATGCCAAAACAGGCTTATCATTGTAGCCCCTGATTTGAGGTCTACAAAAATAAACATGATTTAGCTAGTTGATTTGGCTTACGGCAAAGGATTTCGATTAATGTGCCTTGAACTACTACTTTGTTTTTTTTTTTATCCAATCTATTAATGCTTGACAGTCTGAATCTGATTTAAATCCAGGTGGTTGTTCCATATAAATTGGTTTATTTATTCAAGTATCCATTTAAATATGCAGTTTTTACATCAAAAATCTTATTTTGTAGTTTTCGTAAACATCGTAATTTTCTTATTGATAGATCTTTCAACTAATTTCCAGACTTCATGAGCCTCCATTGAACTTAGTTCTTCTATCATTTCATACATCATACTACATAATCTTTTTTCATTGTTCTCGCTCGTCTTTTCTTCTGCTTTAGTTTTGGTAAAAATTGCTTTTAAATCATGATCTACAATTTGTTTATCTTAAAGCTTGTATAATTGAAGCTATATCTTTCTCTTTATTACTTTTGATAATTTTAACAACAATCAACTTTAACGTCCTTCTAGTATGAGGTAAATTAATTTTTTATCTCTTATTTCATCCCAACTTGAATGCTTTTACTTTTCAGAATTACAGCTGTATTCATGTAAGCATCTACAGATTCGTTTTGACTCATTTTCAGTTGAGCTAATTCTTTCTACATTTGATATGAATATCTTCTGTTCTTGCCGCCATTTCATTTTTTATTTTCTCCCATCATTTCTTTGTATTCTGTTCATTCACATATTTTAACGCTTATGGAGCTGTCACAGTCTAATTCATTAGATTTCTTGCTATCGCATTATCATCCCATATTTCCCAAGTTTTTATTTCACTTTTAAAATTAACATCTTCCTTTTTGTTTTGGTTCATCAGCTTCTATCACACTTGTCAATATTTTCAAACTTAATTAACTTTTGATTCTATTTGATCATATAAGGTAATTATCAATTCTATTTGCCCGTATAAGGTAATTATCAGCCAGCCCGTTCGCCGAGATTGGAACTCCAGACCAAACTATCAGTTTTCAGAACTCAGCCACTAGTAGGCAGCAGCAAGTTTCTATGGCTCAGTTATGCACAGTTTGCAAATACTAATTATTTAACTTTAAAATTACATAAAAAATTCACCTAAATTCCAGAATTATTTAATTTACCCTTTTTTTTTTTTTTTTTTTTTTTTTTTTTTTTTTTGTCATTGGTTTCCTTTAAATTGTTATTTTTAACCTTACAGTAAATATTCTGCAATATATTGGAAATGCATGTGACACAACTTTTCAACAAATCATGCAATGATTTGCCACATTCACAAATACTATCATTCCAAATAATCCTGTTTTCAACTTTCTCTGTGATTAGACTTATTAATATAGAATGTTGATTTTTTGATGAAATATATAATTTCTCATACATTTCAGATATTAGGATTGAAAATATTTTAAATGCAGAGGTATTAATGAAAAGCATGAATTCTGTTGTCCAAAATAAACCACCTCGATCAATAGCAGCTAAGTACGCAAAATCTTCCCAATACTCAACTATCAATTCTTTGTCAAGAATTATTTCTTTCCTGCAGAGATTACAATTTATATGCTTCAATGCAGATCTACAAACATATCCAGAAATGTAAATTAGACACATTGTATCTTTTTCTGTAACATTAACATCATTGGATTGATGCAAAACATCACCAAATTCCTTATCAATAAGTTGATCATCATTAAAATCTTCAATATCATTACAAGAAAAATGTTGTAAAATAAATGAACCTTTCTCAGAAATTGCATTTTAAGCAAACTAATTAATTTTAGTTTTCTTTCCGACTCTATAATCTGCTGTAAGGATACATTATAATTACAGCTACTCATTTGTTGAAATTGACCAAAACATCCCTCAAGGTCATCTGTCTGAAATTTTCCTGAAGGAATAAAAGGTAATTTAAATTCTTTTAACAAATACTTTGAAAGTTCATTCAATGTTGCTGTTGTATGGAGAAGAGCAACTTGGGCTTCTTTTGACAGTTTCCCCAATTTGTGACTTACAATTTTTTGTTGTTGGGCAAAAATCGTTCCATGATATAAGCCACGAACAAAACTGTGATAAACATTCTAAGCTTTTATCTTCTGTTGTCCTTATAGGCTGCATAAATACATCTCGAAACTGTAAGGCCTTTTTAGAGTGTTTAACATTCACAATTTTCCACCACTTTAAAATTAAAAATTACATCAATAAAATGTTTAGTTCTTAAGACATCTTTTCCATACCGAGTTCTATTATTCTGCGATTCAATTTGCAGAGCAGCTAAAGTCTTTTCATCAAAAAGTTTAATAGCAGTACTTACATTCTGTTCCTCTATAGAAGACGGAAATAAAACTAAAAGTTGAAGCCATTTTAATATTATCGTTTTTTTTTCTATTTTATACATTTTTTTTTAAATGTAGAACACTGGAATTGTAAACAATATTTGAGTTTTCAAATGACGGTATAAAAAATGTTTGGTTTGAATCGTTCTGATTGAACCAGTTGTTTCGTATAGATTTCGATAAATGAACTGGCTTTAGTGTAGAATTGGGTGCCCCTTCGATTGGCGACATTTTTTAAAAAATTTTGGCGATGAAACCTCACTTCTGGTTACCACAATAGTTTTAAATTTGTTTTAGCTTCCCGATTTTATTTAAATGAAAATAGATTGATGTGTACATGGACATATTTAAGGCGCAATGCCTAGTTTGTGCAATTCTAGGATGTTTTTTTAAGTAAAAACAGATCGATGTGTACATGGACACAGATCTTATGCAATTCTTCGACTTCTTATTTTGGTTTTGTGTAGCGGCCATCTTGAAATTGTGACTTCCTGGCGCCGATCTTGGCGTCAAGAAAGAATCGCCAATAAACGAGGGGCACCCAATTGTAAACTTTTACCAATGAACTGTATCAAATAATGTAAATATAGGAAGATTATGCATGGTAGGGTTTATAAATGAGGATTTTAATGCACCACCACAAAGCATTTTGAACATATTTCTGTTAATTCT